TTATTTCCACCCGGCTCGGAGTTGATGCATTCCCATCAATATGGGTTTCACCCATTGAATCATCTTGTTGAGTCCTCTCGTGTAAATTTCCCATATGTTCGTTTTTTTTGTTGACACCAACATTGAGCAAGTTGTTGGCATTATTGAGTGCCATATCTGGAGTATGCTTAAAACAGAAAAATCTTTAAAGCACGTTAATATAAGATGAACAGATCAAAATAGCACCATAATTGTCTAGGCACCACGGTGGGCGCCAAACTGTTTACACGTAAAAAAAAAGGTACAATTGAATTTATAAACATGATTTATAGACACGTACATTAGATTGACCTGGTTTAGTAAAGCAACAAGGTACAAAGGAAATAAAATAAATATAATTAAAGAAAGAACAAGCATGGACTTCCAATTAATCCAACCGGAACTAAGAATAACTGAAAAATCGCGTCAACACTCGTATAAAGTTTAAAAGAGTGAGAGAAAGAATATTAGCCTTTGTAATTCAAGTATTTTATCCCTTCAATGAGTACAAATACTGCTATTTATAGTTAAATTTGAGGAGACAAGATCCTCAAATCATGCTCTTCTTAAAGATAAATAAAAACCTCTCTTGATGGTTGCATAGCATTTGGGAATAAATGCTATGATTCTCAGTACGGTTGTTCTTTTAATGATGCTCTTTCCAACCGATGCCTTACTTTCAATTCTCTTCCCTGACCTTTATGCCTTTTAAAATTTACACAATACCGGTCACATGTCTATATCCGATACTAGCTATCTGCTGACTCATCTTCATCCTGTCATCACTGTCATGAAACGAATTAACATATGACCAATGTCGAGATGTAGATAGATTCGTAAACAATAGAATATTTCTTTGCCATAATGGAATGGAGAAGAACATCAGTATCATGAGAATAGCTAGTCACTCAAAACTTTAAGTATCTTCCTTTAAAGACTTTTTTGAGTTTTCACTTTGTAGCTGATAATATTCAGTTATTGAAATGGAACTACTACAAAACCTCAAGTATTGATCGAGCGACAGACGAAAGAGGACCAAGTGACTCCAGAGAAAAAATAAAGAGGGAAAGAGAGCGAAGTCAGTGGTTGCAACACCTCAAAATTATTATATTTCTTTTTGAGAGGAAAAAAGAACAACTAAAGTGAAAATTGTAACAAAGAATTTCAACTTTCAAACTAGTGTTTTTTTGTTGAATTATTGGTTAATGGACTTTGTTTTCTATCTTTTGTTTGATTTTCTTGAAGCTTGTACTATTGATATTCCAAGTCAACACTAACAAGACCTTGACATTGTTGTATTCCTTTTCAAATTGGAAAAATGAATTAGGACGAGAATTCTAGCAAAGAACATAGACTTTCAAACAATTTTGATAGCTTCAAAGTTTGGTTAGTTGACTTCTTCTGCCCGTCTTTCTCATTCATTATGATACCAATAAGTAAATGATGCAATTTGACCCTTCGGAACCTCAAGGGCCAATTTGATAGAAACTTTATACTCCCTTTTTTTTTTTTTAATTTATGTGAATCTATTTGACACACGTAATTTAAAAAAAGAAAGAAGACTCATGAAGGTAAATTCTTTTTAAATATAAAAATGGATCATTCTTTTTTGTAAAGATTAAAAAAAAAATATATTCAAATAAATTGAAACGAAAAGTGTATTAAACTAATAAATAATTACCAAAAAAGATGATTGATTTGCTGTCAGATATTCGTTTCAAAAATTAAGTCAATATTTTCTTTCTAAGCCTGTTAGCCGCAATCATAACGAGATAATATTACCAACAAGGGTTGTGATGAAGTGGTAAGTACTCCTTCATCCTTAACCAGAGTTCTTGAGTTCGAGTCCCTGGGTATGGAGTCGCCTTTGTTAGGAAGCGCTTTATCCCCAAATGTGAGACTTTTTGGCGCAAATCCGGATTTAGTCGGGCCCCAATGTGGATACTGGACACCGGGTGGGAAACCAAAAAAAAAACGGATAATATTTATTTTAGAATAAGTTATTTATATTAGAATAAGTTATCCAACAAATTTATGCTTTTCTTCTGCGAAGTTTAATACTAGAAGATTGTTGAATCAAACTTATGTTTAACACTTTAACGACTAAAGTGTTAGTGAAGGAACATTGTATGCATTTTAATAACTCATCTACTAAAGTATTTAATTTTTAAGTAAAAAATTACCATTCAGCTTATGAACTCGTATGCGAAACATATCTTTTGAGCTTGTTCGGGTAGTAACAAAGAAAAAATTCAATACTTTGTTAAGAATAAATGAAAATTTCGCAAGAAAGCACTGTTTGTTTGATGAGAAATAAAAGGAATATTAAAAATTTCGTCCCTCCTTTTTCTACATACACACACACACAC